AACAAAATAAATCAAATAATAAGAATGAAACAAGTTATGAACAGTAAATTTCAAAGGACAGGAGAATTAAAATTTTCTTTTGGAAATAAGATAATGAAGGTAAAATGCTAAGAAGGAGTTTTGTTTAGTTATCTTTATGAAAATGCTAATCCCTATAAGCACAACGAGCACAAAAACAGTGACAAAATAAGGAAAATTGCAAAATTTTAATAAAATGCTATATGTAAATAGTCAAACTTAACTTCTTTTAGACAATAACTTTTCTCTGATATATAACCATACAAAGCACTTACAACACATAGTTTTATTAAGCTAGCTATGTCATCAGATAATATTCAATAACAGTACATATTGAAAAACTGTTGGCTGAGCATTGTGGCTCACACCTATAATCCCAGCAGTTTGGGAGGCCAAGGCAGGTGGATCATAAGGTCATGAGTTCAAGACCAGCCTGTCTAACATGGTGAAACCCCCTCTTTACTAAAAATACAAAAACGTAGCTGGGTGTGGTGGTAGGCGCCTATAATCCTAGCTACTTGGGAAGCTGAGGAAGAAGAATCGTTTGAACCCAGGAAGCATAAGTTGCAGTGAGCCGAGACTGGGCCATTGTACTCCAGCCTGGGTGACAGGGCAAGACTCTGTGTCACAAAAAAAAAAAAAAAAAAAGAAAAGAAAAAGAAAAAAGAAAGAAAGAAAGACAGAAAAAAAAAGGGTCATATTGCTTCTCCATTGCTGGAATATAAACTCTCATAGCCTATGATATGGGCTGGCTAGAACTTTGCCAATCAGTGACTGTTCAGCAAATCTAGATTTTTTTTTTATCTTATATTTAACATTAAGATGAATTCTTTCTTGGGTGCTGGTGACAGCATGTCTATTGCTAGGACCTATTCTTCCAAAAGTTGGCATTGAACAAAGCCTGGGGAGTCTTTCTTACATAGCAGTAAATGGAAGGGTGGATATGGGGCATCAGGGGCAGCCTTTAAAATCTATTTTTATTCTGCTTAAAGTTAAATGGAATGGTATGACCTTACTTGTAGGCATCTCTCTGTGGCACGGTTCATGAAAATAAGTTCTATATTGATCCCTAACATTAGTACGTCTATTAAACTAAGTCCTTCCAATGTATTGTAGTCTTAAAAAATATTTTATCAGTGTTACTGCTTCATAAGAATGTATTCACTTTAAATATGATTGTTCTTAGATAGGATTATTTGGGGGAGAAAAAATTTTATTTTATTTTTGAATATTTCCTCTTTGCCTAACGGTTCTCTTAATGGCAATGTAAGCCGCATTTAAGAAATAATTTTTTCAGTCTATTAATTATACATACTCTTAAGCACCCCATTTGCTGTGTCCTATTTATCCTTTCTCTTCTTTTGTGATGCTCTGCTTTCTGTGGGACGCCATACCCTCCACTGCTTTCTTAACCTAGTCTTCATGTTCCTCTGCCTTTACTGAGAGCTCACTTACTCCTAGTTGGACACAATACTAAAAGCTGAGGAATTAATCTTAACAAAACACGTTTCTGTATAATCCAGTCTTGGTAAATCTGGAAAGGCTCTTTCACGGAGATAGCATCCAAGCTAAGCTGAAGGGATAAACAGGAGTTAGCCAGGTGAACGTGGAGGCAAGAACAAATTGCAGGATGTGCACAGGTCCTGAGGCAGAAAGAACAGGGTGCAGCTGGGAAACCACTGGCAGTTATGTACAGTTTAAAGAATAGGCTTAAAAGATGAGAAGCATTAGAAATGAGTGGGAGAGAGAAACTCATGAAGGGCTTCAGGGGCATGAAGAAAACAATCCGGCTTTTGTTTGGAGGGTAGACAGCAACCATTTTAGCACTTTAAACAGTAAACTAACATATTCCGATTTATACCCCAATGGTATCTCTGGAAAAAGATAAAGAATGGTTTGAAGAAGGTAATTTTAAAAAATAAATAAAAATAAATTACTGTTATTATTGTTAAATTCAGTTTGGTTTGATGCTGTTATCTTTAAAAATCTGAAATCTAAATTATTTAAATAGAGGATAATGATACATTATTAAACCCATGCTAAAGTACATATATATTCAAAATGGTTAAGTCCAGAGTCACAGTAAGCAAAAATCTTACAGTGGTGTGTGCCTTGGCCCCTTCAGCATGATTTGTGTAGTTGAGACAATAGGCTGGAGAAACTTTGCTCCACGTGTGTAGCTATGTAGTTTGTCATCGTGAAAATGATTGCTGAACAAACCTTTTCTTCTCCCAGAGAGTTATATGCTAATTAAAATATCTAATAGAAGAAAGGTGCATTCATTTGGAAAGCATTCGTCAGTACCTACATAATACTCAAGAAGGGAAAGAAGACAATTGAAAAACAGAGCTTCTATTTTAAAAGTAATTCTTACTCTAGTTCAGAGACTTCCTGAACAAATTCATTTGAGCATGAGATTATTTAACTAATAACAGGTAACTGCTCTGAATCTCCATTTTTACATGATCAAACTAAAGAAGACAGAGAAGACCTAGCAATGCTTTGTTTGAAACAAAAACTGGAGCTCATTATCGATGAAAAGATTATAGTCCCTGTCAAAAAATTAAGTTACCCAAAACGGTCCCTTCAGAAGTGCAAATGAGAGCTGACATTATTTGCGTTCAAGGAGTTGGAGAAAATAGTTGGAGTTAACTTTTAACTATTGCCTTACTACTTCCCTACCTCAGTTCATTTTCTGCTACTGTAACAATACCCAAGATGGGGTAATCTGTAAAGAACAGAATCGTTTCTAATAGTCCTAGAGGCAGAAGTTCAAGGTCAAGGAGCCCATAGCTGGCAGAAGTCTTCTTGCTGCATCATCCCATGGCAGAAGGCAGAAGCGCAAGAGAGCATACAGCTAGGGGAGGGGCGGGGGCACGGGGAGGGCGAGGGCAGGGGGAGGGGTGGAGGCAGGGGGGAGGGGGCCAAACAGCCTCTTATCAGAAACCAGTTTCTGAGATAACTAACCCTCTCCCACAATAATGGCATTAATCCTCCCATATAGGTCCCACTTTTCAACTCTTGCACTGGGGATGAAGTTTCTAACAGATGAACTTTGAGGGACACATTTAAACTGTGGCATTCCCCAATTAGTAGGATGTCCAAAAGCATCATTTTTCTGGCAGTGGGAAAAATCAGCACAAAATGTCCTTACATCCCAGCAGTGACACCACTGACACATAGATTTTTAAAGCTAACATTTTCTAAAATTTAATTTTCAAGTTACTCAGTTTTCATAATTGTAGGTAATGTTTTCTTTTTAAAATCTTTGATTTGATATGCAAATTATACATAATAGAGTCATTTTTATTGTTTACGGTTTTAAGCATTCAATTACACTTAATACTTTGAAATATGTTATTAAATTTTATGTTAGGATTGTGTTATATGTTTAGTGTCAACTTGTTTTATGAATCGCAAACTTCGATTTGGCAAAACTACATAGTGAAATAACTATATTGCCATTTTGCTCTGTTATTGCTTTCATCAACAAAAAGTTGATGATGGGAAGCTGAATGTAGTGGTGATTAGAGAGAGAGAGCGAAAAAAATAGCTAGTTTCAAATAGAGACATGAGAGAATCAAAAAGACTTGGGAGATATGGTATATGTGGAAGAAAAAGGGAAAATAAGATACTCTGCCTTCTTGTATGAACTCGAGTAGATGTAATTCCGAACATTACCATTCATATGAAAAGGGAACATGAGAGAAAGAGGAGAGTTCAGAAGAGTGTGAAGGAAAATAGAAAAAAGAGGCAAAAAGACACATAATAAACAGCATCACTTCGGAAAATACTACAATTTCAGTGATTAAATATTCAAAAATATCGTATCCCTCTACCATCTCCATCCTGTTTCTTTAAAAGCTTTATATATACCAAATGCATTGTGATTTATCTGGGACCTCCTCGGGGTAACATAGGTGATGATATTTTAAGGGAAGTAGAAAATGAATTACAAAGAGCTAGAGGCTCATATCAGAATGCCCTCCATCTCCTTAAACCTGAGTGATCTTGAATCGGACTAGATCCAATATCCCTTAAGTTTATTGCCAATGAGTGAGGTTAGCAGCAGTTTCTAATCTTACAGCTAGGAATGCAGTCTGTGTATAGGAAGGATAAGCATACTCTTGTATCCCCATGATGAGAATATGAATATATTTTCCCAGAAAGATGGGTTTTTGCAGTGGTTATTTCCATAGTATTGTTAACCTTTTCCTTGGAAACATTATAGGTTCAGTTACCTGACAAATAACCTAACTACTTTTATTTGGACCTTGGAATACATTTGCCCATTCAAAAAATCTTGTTAGAGGGTAATTTAGGGTCATAATTATTTAGAAACTGTTTCTACTTTGCATTAATAAAAATCAAATTTGAAAATTGTGTGAAGGTGAATCAATCCTAAGAGCAATCAAGTAGATCACTAAGCTACTCCAGTTTGCGTTAAAGGAGACTATATTCAGAATTGCTCTTTATTTTTTAGCTTGTCAGCAGTTTAATTTCTGTTTCCTCTTTTTTTTTTTTTTTGTCTCTCCTCTATTTGCTGCACACTTAGAGATGCATGTTTTACTTCACATGAAAATAATATTTTATATAGCTCCTTTCCCTTTTATACAAAGTTAGATAATTCTGAGAGGACTTAACGTTTTAATCCTCTAATTGTCAAAAAGGCTGAGAGCATTAAGAAGCTTACTGAAGAGTTGAGTTGTGCTGTAATTTTGTTTTCTCGGATTTGAGTTTCGAAGAAGAACCATTATAAAGCCTATGTTTGGCAGCGGTCAGATGGTTGTTTTGATACTCAAGTGGCACTCTGATTGGTATTGGCTTATTTTATCATGTTTAAAATGAAAATCAGATTGAGGACTTCTAGAGGTGTAAAGTCTTTGAACTGTCAAGTAAAAATAATTTCTGAAGTATTAGGACATCTTGAGGTCCTACTGTGAACCAGCAATGTAGGTGTTTTCTTTCTAATTTTATTTCAGATATCTCTACCACAGGACCTCTTGGCATGGGAAGCACGACCACCAGTACCACCCTTCGGACCACAACTTTGGGCCCGGGAAGGAGTACCACGCCGTCAGTGTCAGGAAGGAGAAACCGGAGTACTAGCACCCCATCTCCAGCCGTCGAGGTGCTTGATGACATGACCACACACTTTCCATCAGCATCGTCCCAAATCCCAGCTCTCGAAGAGAGCTGTGAGGCTGTGGAAGCCCGAGAAATCATGTGGTTTAAGACTCGTCAAGGACAGATAGCAAAGCAGCCATGCCCTGCAGGAACTATAGGCAAGTCTGCGCTAAAGCTCTAAATTAAAACTGTTTAGTTACTTTGGCTTCATTTTCTAGTGTTCTTTGCCTTTTTTCTTTCTTTCTTCCTTCCTTTCTTTTTCTTTCTTTCTCTTTCTTTCCTTCCTTCCTTCCTTCCTTCCTTCTTTCTTTCTTTCTTTCTTTTTTCTTTCTCTTTCTCTCTTTTAGTTACAACATATTGTATTACTTCACGTTTGATTAAATTCTGAACTGAGCTAAATTACAATTTAAACCTATATAGTTTCCAGAGTTTGAATACGCAATCTGATTAAGTCACAGGTAACCTGTGAGATCTGCACTCTGCCCCCATAGTTTCAGGTCTCTGGGTAGAGGTAAAGTTAGGCTGTAGACATTCTGGCTACTCCAGAGGCTCAGCTTTCCTATGAAGCAGTCCAGAGGGGATCACGTGATTGCTAAAAGTTAGTCTCACGCTTGCCGTCAACAGACAGATACTGATTGCAGAAAATGGGATCGAGGACTTCTATATTGTAAGATTATCATGGAAAAGACCTAACATGTAACAAAAGAGAAAATTTGACTGTCCTTTTTATCAACCATTATAGTTGTCCTCTAGTGAGCAGTCAAAGCTCTTAACACTGTCAGGGACCATGCTGCAGGAGTCAACCTGGCACTCACTGAGACATCCACCAGAGAACAATTCTGCATTGTTTCCTCTAGGGGATAAAGAAGAACTCAATTCTTCCTGGCCTTTTTTTTTTTTTTTTTTTCTTTCTGTCTTTCTTCTTTTTTGAGATGGATTCTCACTCTGTTGCCCAGGCTGGAGTGTGGTGGTGTGATCTTGGCTCACTGCAACCTCCACCTCATGGATTAAAGCAATTCTCCAGCCTCAGCTTCCCAAGTAGCTGAAATTACAAGCACCCACCACCACGCCAGGCTAATTTCTTTTGTATTTTTCACCAGATTGGCCAGGCTTGTCTCAAACTCCTGACCTCATGTCATCCACCCACCTTGGCCTCCCAAAGTGCTGGGATTACAGGTGTGAGCCACTGCGCCTGGCCTTCTTTGCCTATTTTATTACTGATATTCATAATATCGTCACATGTAAACATATTATTATTTATTATGTTTAAGAAAAAGGTATTCTGACTTTCTTATTGTTACATATATTGGTATTCATAAATGAATACTTGTCATACTTGCATTATTCTCTAAAATATGTATATAAGAGAAATTCACAGTGCATGTTACCCAACATTCTTGGGTATTATTGATTTGGATACTTAAGGAAAAAAGTTTTTCTTAGCAAGTTCTGATATGGGTATATCATTTCAAATTCCATAGTAAAGGAAATGGTAGGTGGGAAGACCAAAGGGTATCTTGGTTTTTATAAAAAATACACTTTTTTCCAGCAAAATATTTTAAAATATTCAAAAGTATTTATTTTCTTTAGGAAAAGAGGGAGATTATTTATCTGTAAAGTTTCCTGTGATACTGGAATCAGAGAACAGTTGGAAACCACTTTTTTCCTTAGCTGTTTCCTTAGTTCTTGGCCTCAGTTTCTCTATGTTTCTGCAGACAAGGGGCTATTATTTTGTTTTGAAGATTAGTGAAACCCTTTATTTTAAAGTGCTTTGCTCTACAGAAATGTCATGATTTTTCTGTGGCAACTGGAAAGGATATTTTCTGAAGCCCTCATGGGTTGCTGTCAACACACCCCCATCTTATTTTTACCCGTCTCTGTCCATCCTGTTATGCCTGTGTATAGGCCCCTACAGTCTTTCACTTGAGTTATTGCAATAGCTTCCTCACCATCACTCCACATCACCCTCTCAAATTCATCTTCCATTTTCCCACCAGAGTTATTTTTCCGAAACAAATTTGCTCATCGATCTATCTCTTCTTTTAATATTGCCATTAATTTCAGCACCCACAAATGATAGTCAAGGGAGTTTATGATCTGTTCTACTTTTCCAGTTTCATTAAATACAACTCCCCAGTCCAGTAGACCCCAGTTCATAAAAACTTGAAGTTTCCCAATGAGCGTATGTTTCCCCACCTGGAATGTCCTTTTCCACTTTCCTTTTTTTTTTTTTTTTTTTTTTTTTTCTGAAAAACCTGCACACTGATTCCTTTAAGACTCAGCTGCTCTGTTGCCTCTATAAAGTCAAGCACTAAGCTCCATGGAGGCACAAGCCATGTCATATCACACATGAAATTCTTTAAAAACTGTCCCCATACCTAGTGTGGCTGCCACAAGTGCTTCAAACATCTTGTATGTTTTTGTTTGGAGTACTGTATTTCTCCAGTGCTAAATGCTTGCTTGACATTATATCTGGTGTTTTAATAAACATGATGTCAATTTAATTATCTTGTTTTTATATTTGCTCATATTTATATATACCATGGATGTGAAGTCATTCTAAGAAACAGATACATTTTTCTCATTATTACAGGTGTATCAACTTATCTGTGCCTTGCTCCTGATGGAATTTGGGATCCCCAAGGACCCGATCTCAGCAACTGTTCTTCTCCTTGGGTCAATCATATAACACAGAAGGTAAATCTTGTGACTGACAAGGAAGTCTTTGCTAAAACTGTATCATCTGTTGTTGATGATAACTGTTGGAAACAAAACAGTCAAGAATTCTTTTAAAATCTACATAGAAAAATTCTACCATTTTAATTTAATGTCACATTTAATGACAACCTCTAATATGTTATGAGCTAATTCTAGAATTTTGTAGTTTTTAAAGTGCAGATCCATGAATTTCCTCTTATGTTGCTTATAATAATTTTATTATTAATAAAAATTCTATGGTATTGTGAACTACAGATATAAAAGTCCAAGAGGCATTATAAATTAAGCAAGTAAAAGTTTCTAGCATACATACCTATGGGTTTTCCTGTGGAAATAATTATAATTTTTAAAAGTCTACCTTTGGAATCTTAAGCCATCTGATAAATATTCTGTAACCTAATCATTTATCAGTGTTAAAAGTATACACATGTGTGACAGGATCTTGCAGACTCAAATTTGCAGGGCTTATTTGGCTGCAATATGTTGAACATTTTCATTATTAATGCACTGTGGGGCTTTGAATTGATTTCATTACAAACAGAGACCAGATGTGCATTTATGCCAAAAGGGTTATGGGATGAATCCTTATTATAGCAATTTATGTGGATTTATGCACTCCTAAAATGGAGAGTCCTTCTATGGCACATTAGCTATGCTGAGGAATTTCTGAGAGAGATTTTTCCCGAGAAATATCACAAATGATGGCCTTACTGAAAGGCTGCCTGTGCCATTTGCTCTTTTCTCTATTTGTTTTTAACCAGACTTATCCTCAATAATATACTGTATAATAATCCATAAATATCTACCCAGTAGATTATTTAGCAGATGAGCCATAACTATGTATTTATCCTAAATCATGGAAGAATAGTGGTTATATTGACTCTAGTTACCCTCTTACATATGCATCTCCATACTTGTTGCTATTCATAATGATGCTTCTCCAATTTCAGCACTGTTCCTGCCACAGTTTTTATGTCCTTTGATTTTATTACAATGTAGCTCAGACCCCAGGGCAAATAACTCTTGCTGGATGTGATCAGATTAAGAGATCAGTAGCATATCTCCTTACATTAGCAATTCTTTAAAAGGAGTCCCTAGGTACTTAGCCCAGGGTTTAATATAAATTCAATAAAAATTATTCTAGGAGGCTGAATGTTTTCATGATAATTTCTGAATATAGTTGGACCATTTTATTGTAGAAATTATGAGGTAACTTTAACTGATAATGATGCTTAATTCTTTTCTTTCCTCTGCAGCCCAGCTAATCTTAGGACAAAAGATAATTCCTTTCAAAGAGCAGACAGCTGTTATTCATTTGATTTATGGACAGGATGTTTTTATTTTGTAAAAAATACCTCCTATTCTTCCAGAGCATTTTTGTTTAATCCTATAGAGTCTATAAAACTATGTTATGTGATCATTATGTTAAACTTAAAGAACTTAGGTGTTTGGAATTTATTAAAAAAAAAAAAAAAAAAAAAACTTTGATTACTCAGAAGTTTATAAAATCTTAAAATGTATAACAAGAGGCTTTTGGGCACTCTGAATCAGCTTATGTGACTTGTCCAAGGTCAGTGGCAGAGCTGGTATTTTAGCCAAAACCACCTTCATGAAGACATCATCCTTAACCACAACACTGGCTAAACCATGGAGAGCTTATAGTTGGCTTCATATCCTTATCCTCAGTTACCTATGCTGTCCCTCTGCACTCTGCCTACCCCTTTTACTTAGTCGTGTCCTTTATGCCTCCAAATATGTATGCTACTCATTGAATATAAATTATAGGTGAGCAGGTTTCTTTACCACAAAACTCCAACCCTTTTAAATATTAGCAATGAAAACGTCTAAGAATCTGATGTAATGTTTGTAGGATTATTTATCAATATTTTATCTCCCTCTTCCCCAGACTGTCTTTCATAGAATTTACCTCTTTTCTCATCTCCTTCCTCTCATTGTGATAGCTGTGCAGTACCAAGGTCCACACAGATGGAACACTTGAGATAATTTTATTTATGATGGTGTTGAGCAGTAAAGGCAAACTGCAGGGGATTGAACAGGAGCCCAGAGCTTGTAGTAGGGGAGAAGCTGTTCCCAGTTCTAGGCCTGTAGGATGCTGAATCAAAGGAGTGACCAAAAATAAGGAGCACTTTGTCCTGGGAAAGAAAGATGATCTTAAGGCAAGGGACACAGCCTAGCCCCAGGTGGCCTTTCAGAGGGGAACCCAAGAGAATGAATACCCTGACCTACCTGCCTCTGCCCTCCACTTACCCACCAAGCCACCCCACTGGGCAAGCACAACCAAAAGCCAAAGAAGGACACACTTAATGACTGTCATATAAGTCCATCTAGTAGGGCAGAAGGCAGGATGAAGGAGGGTAGAGAGTAGCCCTGAACTAGCAAATGAAAGGTACCCAACACAGTCCTTGGCTTTTCTCCACTCCCATCTCTCACTCCTCTTCCATTTTCCATTGAATCAGCATTGTTGCCTGGGCTAAATATCCATGCCTCATCATCTAGAACCAAGAAGATTACGGACACACACAATTAATGAATTTAGGATCAGAGGTTTAATAGGCAAAAGAAGAGAAAGGAGAACAGCTCTCTCTCTTGTGTGAGAGAGAAGGGCTCCAGAATGGGAATTCTGGCCCGGAGTGGGAGTGCACCAAATTTTATAGGCAGGCTTGAGGAGGCAGTGTCTGATTTATGTAGGGCCCAGGATTGGTTGGACCAGGTATGACATTTGCATAGCTGGCTGGGAAGGCTAGCCACCCCACGCTAATCTTTTTTTTTCTTTTTTTTGAAAGGAGGTCTCCCTCTGTCTCCCAGGCTGGAATGAAGTGGCACAATCTTGGCTCACTGCAACTTCTGCCTCCCACGTTCAAGTGGTTCTTCTGCCTCAGCCTCCCGAAGCTGGGACTATAGGCACGTGCCACCACACCCAGCTAATTTTTCATATTTTAGTAGAGATTAAGTTTAACCATGTTCCCCAGGCTGGTCTCAAACTCCTGGGCTCAGGCTGTCTGCCCGCCTGAGCTTCCTGAAGTGCTAAGATTATAGGTGTGAGCCACTTCACCCAGATACCCTAATCTTGTTATGCAAATGGTCTTTCCACTTGGCCAGGCCATGTTGTCTGCTCTGTACTGTACACATGGCTGGGAAAGAGAAGGGAAGATGGAGCCCCCATTTTGAACATGCCTAGGCCCCAGTAGCCTTTTCCTGTTGTCACAGTTGCCGGCATGCATCTGTGCAAGCTTCTAGTTTGCCTTTCTATCTCTGCAGCTCGATTTTACAGGTTACACTTTGTTAGAAAATAAATGACTTTGGGGCTGCTTTTCATGAAAAGGAAAACCTTCCTGAGGACTTCCTTACCCTCACTATCTGCCTAGATAATTTCTTTTTAATTCCTGTGTCACAATCTCCTTCTCCACCCTTTACCCTTTCCCTCCCCTCTCCTCCCTCTTTGATTTCCTTTCGCCCCAATCTCTGCTCTTATTTCCTACCTCTCTCCTTCACTGCCACTGATTTTTTTTTCTGCCATGTTGAAAAATTGAAGTAAAATACATATGTTTAATGTTTCATTCTTCTGGCTATCCTCCCCTTGCTGCCAGTATAGTTCTGTGAATTTCAAACTTTTAAAGTAAAAGGACACTTTTTACCCCCAATGGAAATGAAGATGAAAAAAAAAAAAAAAAAAAAACATAATATACACATGCCAAAAAAAAAAAAAAAAAAACCGTGTATGCGTGTGTGTGTGTGTGTGTGTGTGTGTGTGTGTGTGTGTGTGTATTTTAAATTACAGTTTTGTTCTTCTCAGGGATTTTGTGAATGAAATGTACCATGAAGGGTGAACCATTTCTGTCTCAGTCCATTTGGGCTGCTAGAGTTTATGGTTAAACAAACAAAAAAACCATAGACTGGTTAGCTTATAAACAACAGAAGTATATTTGCCATGGTTCTGGAGGCTGGAAAGTCCAAGATCAAGATGCCGGCAGATCCTTTCTCTGGTGAGGGCCTGCTTTCTCATTCATTGGCAGCACCTTCTCACTTAATCCTCATAGGGTGTACGGGACAGTTCTCTGGGGCCTCATTTATAAGGGCACTAATCCCAGTCATTAGGACTCTGCCCTCCTGACCTAATCACTTCCCAGAGGCCCCACCACTTAACACTGTCACACTGAGGATTCCATTTTTAACACGTGAATTTTTCAAGGGACACAAACATTCAGCAACCTCTTTCTCATCTTTACAGTGCCTATGGAGAACTCCTGAGGACATGGAAGGAAAGAGCACTGACCTGAGGATCTTAATAATTGAGTTATGGTGGGCATATCAGTAACCTCTGGATCAGTTTCCCCATCTGTGAAATGGAGTCGATCATTAATTTTATTATCAGCAGGTGCTCGCTGTATGTCACCACCATTGTAGTTAGCATAGGTAGCAATTATATTCAAGGAAATGAATCAAGTTGTTGACGTTAGTTCAAACAAGGAAATTTTACATTTACATTTTCTTGAAAACATGAATTATGTTTTTTTTTCCCCCCCAGCAATCAGGCCAGATGGAATAAAACAGGCAAAGATTCTTGATGGTTTCAACTCACGAATGAATTTGGGTCACTTATATACTGGTGAAGTTAGAGATTAAATTCTGTGTGACACTAAAGAGTGGATTTCTTTTCACTAGAAACAATGTAAACCTTTAAAGTTAGAATATCGCAAAGGAATCTGTTGCAAATAAACTAGCTGAATACATTCATAAAGATGAGATTTAATACAAAAACATAATTTGTACAGAAGAGAAAGGAGAAAAGCATAAGTTGTCCCAAGGGGACCTTTACCCCAACAACAAAATAAAGAAAAGGAGAGGAAAGTGAGAGGAAAAGGAAGGCCAGCAGGCGGGTAGATGGAAGTATTGATGGATGTAGGTGGGTGGATGGATGAGTGGATGGAAAAGTAGGTAGAAGGATAAATGAATAGGCA